TTACAACGACTTTTACTGTGTAGTTGTAAAATTGACCATTTCTAACCTTGTCATCTAATGACTTTTTAAAAAAATTATTTAAAAAAAAAATAAGGCATATTTGGCAATATAAAGTCTCAAATGATCATCAAATTTATTATATATTAATTTCACGTGTTTATAAAATCATCGAGCAACCGGGTCTAGATGATTTTCGCTGGACTGACCCAACTATTAAATAATTAGTAATTAAAACTTGTTAATTATGAGTAATTAAGGTAATTAAAAAACGCGACAGCTGACAATACTTTGCGCACGCATCTAACTACAAGCAAATTGGACTTGGACTTGTCTCTTGGACCTATTGTAGAAGCTCCTTAACAAAGGCGCGCGTTGGCTCAAGCAGGTCACAAAAGTCGCTGTTCCCGGAAGAAAATTGGGACGGAAAGATCGTACTTTCAGTTAGGGGATACAGGAAAATTATTTTTGTTACAAAAAAATGTCAAGGAAACTAGAAATATAGCAATTATAATGAATCTTTTGGAATAGCAATTCTAATTTAGTGAATTGACTGCTTCCTCATGATTTTTCTGGGTCGTCATTTTTTCCAAATACAGTAGAGCCGCCAACGTGCACGTTTGCCTGAAATTTCCCACTCTTCCAAATTTCAGTGCCGTCTCTGTGCCTTTTTTTGTGTCTATAACTATATGTACATTGCGGAAAACAATTTTTCTTCTTAAAGATAAACAAATACATTTTATTATTTAAGATACGGATTGTAAGAATTTTTATGTTTTTTTAAATGCGATTTTTTTCGTTTTCTTTTTTAAAAAAATTGCGAATTTTTAAACTTATTTTCACAAAATATTGAAATAAAAATTAATTAATTTATTGAATGAAAAGAAAAATACCTGAAAATTTTTGTAGTTTATAGTTTAGCTCTTCCAAAATTAAATTATTTTGTAAATTTGTACATCTAAAAAGTCTTTTTCAATTTAATGATTGATAATAATTTTAATGAAATTTCTCATAAATTTAATTTAATATAACAAATTTTTCAAACATAAAAATTTGTTGAAACTCAATTACTGAATAAAATATTTTTAAAAATGTCTTTATTAATTCAAATTCATAAAAATTTTAATTCGAAAACTTCTGAAATTTAATTAATATTATAAATGTGAACTGCAGCTGCAATTCAATTTTTTAATTTAAAGATTTTTAATTTCTGGAAATTAAATTATTTTCCATAAATAAATATATTTTATAAACTGTTGAAATTTCGCAAAATTTAATAATATATATTATATAATAGTAGGGTCAGTTGGGGTAAATGGGGACAAGAGGTTTTGGAGCTTAATTTACAGTTTTAAAATTAAGTTGAACGTCAATATTTAAACCTCAGATCACCTGCAAGAGGTTTTGAGTATTGCCAAGCTTTTATCTTGACAATTGGCAGCAAGATAAAAAAAGTTATCGCTCAATGCATAAGAACTTGAAAATTAAAGTGAAACTGTTTCAGTATTTTGTCTCGCATTTCAAAGAAAACAGACTTAAAAATCATACCAAATTTTTTTCTTATTCCTTATGACTCCTATAACAGAAATTCACTTGAATTTTTGATTTTTGTTAATTTGGTTAATAATGACAAGTTGTCCCCATTTACCCTGAGTTTTCAAATTTTTGGGGTAAATGGGGACAGCTTGTCATTATTAACCAAATTAAGAAAAATCAAAAATTCAAATCAATTTCTGTTATGGAAGTCATAAGGAATAAGAAACAAATTTTATATGATTTTTAAGTCTTTTTTTCAAATGCGAGACAAAATACTAAAATAAAAAAAAATAAAAAAAAAACATTAATTCTTTAAATTTACCTCAAATGTATACTTTATATATATCGATTCCACAAGGAAGCGAAATGTAATTGCTTACACTATTATATATCTACTACAAATTTTTTTCAAGTTTTTTCATCCCTTAATACAGTAATAAACTTAAGGAAACTTTTTTCTTAAACCTTTCTTAGAAACTATGCTGTCCTCATTTACCCCAAATATTATGAAATTTTTTAAATTTTGGGGTAAATGGGGACAGTCAGTTTCATGCATTTAAAGCTTTTCTAAATTTTTTTCTGCTGCATAAAATTTATCCTAGGAACGTAAATAACAACTTAAAAAAATGAACTCGCAAATATTACCTTTTAAAGGAAGAAACTTAGGTAATTTGTGAAAAATAGCGATTTTGTCCCCATTTACCCCAACTGACCCTATAGTATTATAACATAATATAATATACATAATTTAATATAATTATATAATATAAAATTTATTTTCAAAATTCATTCATACACTGAGAGACCATTTGGACTGCAGCGGAACAAGGTAAGTGAGAGCAGCGCCACTATGGTTATGGTATGCGGCGGTACAATTTTGGAAGCGTGACTGTCCAAAATGTTGGTGAGTAGCTCACCGAAGTTGTGGGGACACCACCTTTGGTTTGTAGCTATACAACTTTTTGGCAGACACGCGCCCTAAAATGTACCGCAGCAGCCCAAACGTATAGTCTCGTAGCTTACCAACAGAATGCTCCGTAGCCGTCTGTCGAAAGTTGGCTACGGTGCAGAAGGTCTCTCAGTGTACTTGTGGATCTTTTTTTTTAATTACTTATCTCCCATAATGTACAGCACTGAAAATTGCCTTGCAACAGTAGCGCCACCGTGCACGTTGACAGATATTGGAAATAAAACTTGCATGCACGTCCAAGGAACGTGCACATAGGAATCGTGCACGTTGGCGGCTCTACTGTACTTACATGTTTGTACGACATATTTATACGGTTTTTGGATCTTTAGAATTTTTAAAATATGCAGAAACATTTAATTTAAAAAAGTAGCTAAAATCCACTAAGATAGAGGGTTCAATTTTATGTGAAAATTTGTATTTTTTTTATTTCCTATTGAATTTCGGGAGGAATGAATCGAATTCAAAAAATATATTCATAATTATAAAATTATTGTGTGAAAATTTAACTAATAAAAATTTTATAAAATAAAGTCTAATAAATAATAAAGTTCGAAAATCGTATGCTAAATTTAATTGAAATATTACAAATATAAACATTATTAATAAAAAATAAACAAATCAAAGGTTTTAAAGTGCAGTTGATTTAATTATTGAGGTTTGAATAATACATATCGACGTCTCCTAATGATAAAGTGTTTATTCAAATTTCAGTGCAATAAAGTGTTAACTCAGAAAATTGGGTTATATAATGTCTATTGAAAATTTCGTGCAATATAGTGATAGTTCAAGTTTCGGGTAATAAAATGTTTATTTAATCGTTAATTCAATATAAAGCTTATGTTGAAATAAATTTTTATTTTATTATTAAAACTATTTAAACAAGGAGGGGGTCCTTTATGTTTATTTCATAAACATTTTGCTTCCTCGTGGAGGAAGCTATGAATTTCTCTAATTCAATTGATTGATTTAAAAAATTTCGAATTAAAAACTGATTTAAATTAATTAAATTTTTTGAAAAATTAAGAAAATTTTAATTCATTTTGGGTGTAACATATACTTTATATATACGAATTGATTCGTTTTAATGCAAGAAATTCAATTATTTAAATTATTATTAAATTCATTGTTTAATTAAGAATTATATTTAATTTTTTAATTGACGATTTAAAAAAATTTTTTTTACTCAAAAGAATTCATTTTTTAATCATTTTAAGGTTAAAAAATACTTTATAATTTCATTTCTACAATTTTTAACATAAATTTTTGTGTTATGTGCATTATATTACATATTATATTTCTGTTCATTTTTTTATTCGTAAAGTTATAAAAAATATATAAAAATTATTTGAATAAGCTTTATATTGAATTGACGATTAAATAAACATTTTATTACCCGCAACTTGAACTTTCACTATATTGCACAATCAATTGAATAAGAATTTTATTGCACGAAATAGATACTATGTAATCCAATTTTCTGATTTAACACTTTATTGCACTGAAATTTGAATAAACACTTTATAATTAGGAGACGTCAATATATATATATATATATATATATATATATATATATATATATATATATATATATATATATGTATGTATAATGCAAACATTATAATTAAGATGACTTTCTGGTTTAGAATTCCAAAAAAATTGATTTTTTTTCCTTGAAAATGTTCCTTAGTATAGCATAAAATTACTGTTTCAAAACATTGTTTAAAAAATATGTAAAAAAACAAAAGTTGTAATAAAAAATGTTTGATAGTCCTGGCTCAATGTATTATGTTATGAAAACTTTAAACGCGTTTTTCTTAAAAACACATTTTTCAAACTGGTGCACGGCTTTTCTAGAAATCTACAGAACCGATTTTAAAAAACAAAAGATCATTCGATTTCTTATTTAAAAAACTAAAGAATAAACCTTAAAAATTTCATATTTCTACCTTCTGTTTTTATTGGGGGGTAAATTGCCCCAAACACACGGCGTTTTTGCGAATTTTTGAGAAAAATGTACATAAAAAATAAAAAAATCGTTTTTTAGGTTTATTGTCTAGAATAAACTTTTATGGAGAAGTTTGAAGTTTGATTTATATATTACTGGTTGTCCGGAATCAAGTGCACCAAAAAAAGGTACCATTTGGAAGACGCCACCTACAGTTACGAAATTGAACTAAATACACTCAAATTTTTTTAAATTTTCTTTACGTAATGTGCAATAATGTCCAAAAAGAATTTTTGCAATTTCTTTAATACTTTTCTTACAATAAAAGTTTTAAAACGTGTCTGTTTTGTCAATTCTAAATTAGAAAGTCCCCTTAAATATAATAAAATAAAAATAGTTTTTCCTTTACTGTATATAAAAATGAAATTTACAGTTTTTTAGAATAACGCTCCTTTTTTGAAATTTAAGAAAAACATGAAATGTGATGCTGAAGTAAGTTCAAGCTTTCAAGTTTTTTTATTTTATAATCGTACATATGCCCGGAATTTTCAGGTCTTGCGGAAGAGTTTTTTGCGCAGATTGTTCCGAGAATTCAACTCCATTACCAAGCGAGCAACTTTACAGTCCAGTGAGAGTATGCAGCGATTGTTTCTGTCGACTTCATCATCACACTAGTCCTTGCCAATGCAACGCTCACGAGAGAACAGTAGGAAGTGAGGTAGTAACGGGCAGTAGTTTCGAAGGAACAACGTCGTGCCAAAGAACGACGAAGGTCACTTCTTTGGGAGAAGCAAATGTAGTGAACTGAACAAATGGAAAATTTCTTTTGCGAAAAAGGGAAACGTCAAAATGTAACTTAATATCGACATTCCAACAGTACTGAGAGTGTCGAAATTTATACATAAATTTGTATTGGAAACATGCATTCTGTTATGCAAGTCGCGTGAACCAACGCGTTAGATTCTTTGAGCGATCTAATATTTATTGCTAGAATTAATAATTTCTACTAAGTGGTGTATAGAAAATGAGATGGAAATCGGAGTGTGAAAGATCTGAATGAGCGACGATATTGTGCAATGTGTATGTTTTAGAATAGAGTCAGGCGAAGACTTTTGGCTCCTTCGTATGCAATTCAGGTTTTTCGATTTATAGGTTTTGATTCGAAAACAAAAAGGTTAAGATATGTTTTAAGTAGGCTGTGACAGAAGTTTTAAGTTTAATATACGTGTGAGGACAGGCTTTGCCGCCATGTTATTTGAATTGTTGATTCGTTGTTGACTCTTGCACCAAGTCCAAAAAAAAAAGAAAAAACAAACATTGATTGATAAAAATTCTCAAAATATTTTTGGATATATAAAAATTTTAAATGTCATTATACTACAGTGTTTTAAATGTATTTTCCTGGTATTACGTAACTCGTCTGATTCCTGAAAGAGTGCGAAATTCTCCTTTCGTGCGCTTTTTAAAAAAATTTAAGTTTTAATTTCTAATAAAGTTTGCGAAACGGAACTTCAAATTTACACTTCAATTTATGTAATTTTAATCTACTTTGTGGGTATATTTATTTGAAAAAATATATTTTTAAATGTACGAAAAATATATACAAAATAAAAACTATGTTTATTTACTTTCATTTATTTAGAATTAGATTTTAAGAATATTTTTTAAATCCACATATTTTTGTAAAAAATTTCTAATCAGCAAAATATGTATTTTTTAAAAACGTATTCAACCTTATTTTTTATAATAGATAGACAGCTATTTTCATGCATTAAAAAGCTGTTGGTTTGAAGTTTCGTTAGTAGGTCAAAAATCCTTAAAAATACTAAGTAATCTGTGTACAACGACCTGAAATATTGCAGATATTTATTAAAGATTTGAGATGTGTGACGTTTATTGTACCAAATTAAAAAAGTGGATATTTGAATAACAAGCTGACACGCCAATGATTAGTGCTCTCGAGTGCAAAAGAATTTTAAACTTGGATATTCACGCAATATCACGTTAGTAAGTTTTAAATCAAGCTATGTATATATGTCCAATTGATAATTTGAATTATAGAAAAAGAGTCAAGTATTTTCGCGTTCTGTATTCTGTAGTCATGACTTTCAAGTCCTAACATCGATTGCACATATACATCTGCGGAGCGAATAAAAATAAAATCATTTATTTACAATATTCCAATTTGTCTTATTTAACTTTCTACACGGAGAGAAAAATCTAGCTTTTATAGCACAAAAATGATTCCTACTATTAAAGCATAAATTTTTCCTACAAAGAAAGCATCAATTCATACGTTCTTAGTATGATTGAGAAACATTCTTTCGTAGTATGAATTTAATACTTTAAATGCATATAAGCGCCTTGCGCAAATCGTATGAAACCAAAACCTACTACCACGGAGTAATAATAAGGAGACTGCACTCCGCTTCAGATTGTGAGCCAAATGTCTGCCTTCGTTCACGGATAGTAATCGCCTTGTAAAATTGTACGCAAGCGCAGTGCGCACGTTCCATCTTCGTCGCTCTTTAAAGAACGATGAGAGAGATAATCTTTGTGTGACAAAGTCTCTTAAATGTCAAAAAATAGGGTTATGTTGTAGTGTTGTCAAAAGCAAGTGACATTAATAAAAGAAGTAGAAAATAATAATAAAAAGGACTTCGTAGTAATAAAATTAAGAAAGGAAAAGTAAGTACATTTTATCATGGAATTACAAAAAAATCGTTATAAACGTGGTGATGAGTGAACATTAAAAAGCAGATTGTTTACATGGACACAAATTGATAATTTATGAATAGAATGCGATATTAATTTTTTTTGTTATTGTTCGAAAAATAATGCAAACCGATGTGTTATAAATAAAGACACGTTATTCGTGAAGGGAAATAGAAAACGCGTTATTCATCTGAAACATTTTATAACCTAATTTTCGTAATAATTGTCATTTATTTTAAGTTCATATCAGTTATTAAAATTCAGTATTTATATGATAAATTTAATTTAGCATTATATGCACATTATTTATTACAATAAATAAATAAATAAAAATTATGTTATCATAAATTATCAATTTGTGTCCATGTAAACAATCTGCTTTTTAATGTTCACTCATCACCCCGTTTATAACGATTTTTTTGTAATTCCATGATAAAATGTACTTACTTTTCCTTTCTTAATTTTATTACTACGAAGTCCTTTTTATTATTATTTTCTACTTCTTTTATTAATGTCACTTGCTTTTGACAACACTACAACATAACCCTATTTTTTGACATTTAAGAGACTTTGTCACACAAAGATTATCTCTCTCATCGTTCTTTAAAGAGCGACGAAGATGGAACGTGCGCACTGCGCTTGCGTACAATTTTACAAGGCGATTACTATCCGTGAACGAAGGCAGACATTTGGCTTAACTTTCCACTGCTGATTGCATTGCAGTGCAGTCTCCTTATTATTACTCCATGCCTACTACTATTGCAAGAGTCTAATGCTTTTTCAAGTTTGAGTCAAGTTAAAGTGGGCGTGGCTTAATCACCAGTTCCAGGACTCTCATACCGAAAAAGCATTAGACTCCTGCAATAGTAGTAGGTTTCACTTTTATACGATTTGCGGGTGGCACTTATGCATTGAAAGTATTAAATACATACTACGAAAGCATGTTTCTCAAACCTTTTAAGCATGGACACCAATCATACTAATAGCGTATGAATTCTGACTAATATTACTAGAATTTTTCTACTATAATAGCATGGAAAAGATTCATGCGTTAAACGTATGCCTTATCATGCTATAAAAGCTAGATTTTTCTTTCCGTGTACCTTTCTCATTCAATCAATAAAACTCACCCTTCTCATTAGTTTTGCAAAAATTTCTTTTTATAAACATAATTGCCCAATATTAAAGTTATTGTTAATTGACCACATTTTCTATCACGGCACAGTGAATCTACCCCATACAACAAAAGGATATTCATAAGATATTCAAATTTCCATCCCGTGGGTAACACGTGTTGTATATCCCAGGGATATCTTATACGGGATTTCCCGCAGAATCTGAGACGCACTGTAAAAAATTAATAAAATTGTACAGCACGAAATTGTAGAATTGGGCGATTCACGATTCGCCGCCAACTCATCCCCGTGTACCTGCTCAGCGGCAAATTTTCGTCCCCGTATGTTCCCCCACTACCGGCCTACTGTACCCCTCCGTTCAGTCTGACTGCATGTGTTTTCCACTTAATTTTAGTTGATTGTTGCTTGAAAATTTTGATAATAATTAATTTTGACTCGAAATTTTGGCAAAATAATTGAATTTTAGTTGATTTTGAATTGAAATTTTGGGTAACAATTGAACTTTATTTGATTTTAAATTGAAAATTTTTGAAAATTATTGAATTTTAATTGATTTTTAATTGAAAATTTGGGTAATAACACAGGCACACAAAAAATAAAAAGCTGTTTGGCCTAGATACTACACTAGTCTATTTTCATGTATTTTTTCACGCTGAATCCGAATTCGAAGTCAGAATTGATTTTGAGTATTTTGAGTTTTTTGTTACTTGCGTTTTTTTGCAATTATCTCAAAAAGTTGAGCGAATCTAACAATTCTGACTTTGGATTCGGATTCAGCGGCAAAAAATACATAGAATTACACTATCGCAGTGAAATTCAAAAATTTTTTAATTTTTTGATTTTATTTTTCTTTCTGAGCAGTTTTTTGAGTTTATCTCAAAAATAAAAGCCAATCTGATAATTCTGACTTCGGATTCGGCGTGAAAAAATACATGAAAATAGACTAGTGTAGTGTCTCGGCCAAACAACATTTTACTTTTTGTGTGCCTGTGTAATTAAATTTTAGTTTATTTTGAATTGGAATTTTTGAAAATAATTCAATTTTATTGTGATATTTTTTTAAAATTATAAACAATTGTTAAATTTCATAAAAATTTTATTTGGAAAATAATTTTGAAATAATTGAATTTGTGATGAATTTCATTAAAATTATTAAAAATAATTAATTTAATGAAGAATTATTTTAGTTCAAAATTTGTTAAATAATTGAATTGAAGAAGATCTGAAGAAGATCTACATTTTATACTAAAAAAATGTATTTTATTAAAAAATTTTTTTTTAATTAAAAAAAAGTCGAAAAAGTTGCCGTCTGACTGAACGGAGGGGTACAGTACGGACGGTAGTGGGGGAACATACGGGGACGAAAATTTGCCGCTGAGCAGGTACACGGGGATGAGTTGGCGGCGAATCGTGAATCGCCCGATAATAACATATTTACTTCTGCCAAATACTAAATTCTTAATTCAAGAACTATGCGTTAATCAAGTTAATTAATTAAATAAAAAATATTTTCAAGGAAACAAAAAAATGATTTCCTTCAAGATTATATCACTATTTCAACTGAAAAAATAAATTATTTCATTTAAGATAATATAATATTATTTCTAGAAATTGAATGTTCTTGAAACAATATAATATGAAAATGCTTAAAGTATATTAAACACTTGGATTGATTAATGTTTAATTCAATTTAATTCTTTGTCACTCACTACAAAAAAACTTGAAACGAAATTTATCTGCATAAAAAGGCACACGCAGCTGTTTGTGACTTTACGTAGCTGATGCGCGCGCAGTGAACGCTCGTAGTAAATCAGCGTGCTTAAGTTTGGAAAAAATATTTCTTTGATTCAAAGAAATTTTTCTTTAGATTAAACATGTCAGTTAAAAAAATTTCTTCAGTTCAAAACGTTCCAAAATCATTTTTTCTTAAAATCAATTAAATTTTTCTATTAAATAAATTTTATTTTTGACTTAATAAGTGATTTTATAAAATGATTTCTTTGATTCAATCAAATCATTTTTATGTGTGTAGATAATCGTATTTTTCAATAATGAGTATTCTTAATCAAATAGCGTTACTTTTCAGATACGCAGAAAAATATTTTTCCTATTCTAATAACAATATTTTCTTTATATATGTACGTGTACTTACTGAACAACTCGAATAAATAAATTAGGGAATCAAACTTATAATATGTATACAAGTTTATATTATTGCTTCAGGAAAATTGCTTGATTGCATCACTTAATTCGACCGAAAAAATAAATTATTTCAATTAAGGGAATATAATATTTATTCAAGAAATTCAATGTTTTTGAAACATGATAATATAGAAATGCACTAAGAACAATGAAAATTCAATTTAATTAACGTTTATTTCAAACAATATAATTTTTTATCAGGTTTAAACAAACATTTAATTATATTAATCTTCTTATTTTCTTGGCTCAAAACTATAAGTGTTGGATTAAGTAAAAAATATTTTAAAGGAAACAAAAAATTGATTTGATTCAATTGTATGACTTAATTATACTGAGAAAATTAATTATTTTAATTAAGAGAATATAATATTCTTTTAAGAAATTCCATGTTTTTGAAACACGATTATATAGAAATGCACTAAGTAGATAGAATATTTAGTTTAATTCGTGTTTATTTCAAGCAATATAACTTTTTATATAATTTAAACAAATATTTAGTTATATTAATATTCTGATTTTCTTGTCTCAAGACTATGAGTGTTGGATTAAGTAAAAACTGTTTTTAAAGTGAACAAAAAAGTGATTTGATTCAAGAAACTAAACGACTCCACGTACTTTACTTAACATAAGAACATAATATTCTTGTCTCAATACTTTTTGGGACTTCGTGCAAGTAAAATATTTTTTTGAAAGAATAACATTATTTGCTTGTATGGAACTCACATTTTCTTATGTCAAGTACATTGCCCAATGCTAATAACTACTTGGCACAAGAAAATAAATTTCTTCCATTAAGATGATATTGGCTTGATTCAAGTAAAGTATCTCAAGTAAATGCATTTACTTGATGCAATGAACTTTTTTTTCAGTGTAGTTTGAAACGTAGGCAAAATAGAATATAGTAATAAATCAAATATGACTTTTAATAAAATATACTTTTTAATAAAAAGGATTTTTGAAAAACGAATCAAATTCTATCATCTGTAAAATTTAATACTTTTCTATCAATAGAATTTTATAAAAAATGAATCAAATTCTATCTGCTTAAAGATGTAATATTTATCTATCAAAAGGATTACATTGAAATTCAATAAAATCCTATCCACTAAAATTCTTATACTTTGCAATCAAAAAAATTTTTGCAAAATAAATCAAATTCTATCATCTGTAAAATTTAATAATTTTCTATCAAAAGAATTTTTTTTAAATGAATCAAATTCTACCCTATTGAAAATCCATGTACAAGATCTTGTACAAGAAAATGTACATGTTCTTGTACAAGTTCATTAAAAAAATTTTAGATTCTAATAATTTAGAATTATTAAAACCTTTTACTTAAGCATGCCAAAAATTATTGCGCAGCTGTAAAATCCTAAGAAAACTACTGCGCAACCTTTAAAGTTTTTAATTTTTACTAAACGAAGTCATAAATGAACCTGTACGAGAAAATGTACATGTTCTTGTACATTTTCTTGTATACAAATATTAAATATATTTTTGTACAAGGTCTTGCACAAGATCGTGTACAAGTTCTAATACAAGAACTTGTTCCAAATTCTGGTGCGGAAATTGTACAAGATCTTGTACATGTTTTGACCAAAACATGTACAAGTTCAGCTGCTGAACATGTACATTTTCTTGTACAGGGATTTTTAATAGGGTATCGACTAAAAAATGTAATACTTTTCTATATAAAAAAGATTGTATTAAAATTTAATCAAATCTTATCCACTAAAATTCTTATACTTTTCAATGAAAAGGATTTTTGAAAAATGAATCAAATTTTATTAGGCTAAAAAATTTGATACTTTTCTATCAAAACGTTTGCATCGAATTTCAATCAAATCCTATTAAATTAAATTCTATCCGCTGAAAAATTTAATCAAAAAAGTTTGTATACATTTTACTGAACATTTTATAAAGTTTGAAGTGCAAGCTTGGGAGTTTTTAAAAATGAATCCAATTGTATCCGCTGGAGAATTTAACACTTTTCTATCAAAGGTTTTATATTAATATTAAATTTAACTTTATTAACTACAAATTACGAATATTTTTTATGAAGAAATATTTTTTAATACTTGATGTTTAAATGTCCGCGAATATATTGTGAGGGGATATTTAAGGAAATTAAAAATTCAAGATTTGTTAAATGTAATCGTTAAATATTCTGAAAATTTAGAAGGAGCATAAATACGAAAAAATAAAAAGAAACAAATGAATTTAAAAACCCAATGGGAAAAATTAATAATTAAATTAAAATAAAAAATAGTCATCAAAGTATTAGTGAAACCATTTCTTCCAAACTTCCAAACCTTACAGCAACCTTACAGTAACCTTACGGGAAGCTTACAACAACCATGTAAGCTTACCACAACCTTACCATGTAAACTTACCACGACCTTACTGTGTAAGCTTACCTGGCTTTACTGTGTAAGCTTACTGTAAGGCGGAAGTTTTAAGATGACCTCAAGTTTACTGCAGGCTTACACGGTAGCCTTACAAACCCTACAGATATTCTTACAGTAACCTCACAGCAAGAAGTCGTGCTATGTGAGATAAAACCTGATGGACCCTCGAAACGACCCTTCTATTGGAAAAAGGGAATATATAATATAATAGAGTTATATGGTGGGTTTGAGTGGCCTTGGTACCTCTCTTGGAACCCTTTTTACAAAAAAAATAAAACGTAGTGAGAAATAGTCACTTTTTAGAAAACGTCAGGCCCATAAAAACTATTTAAGTCAGAATTAGTCAGCAGCATCACAAAACATCAAAATAGTCTCAAAACGTCAGGATTTCTGACGTTTTGAGACTGATTTCTGATTTTATTTTTAGCAGGGTAGTTGTAAAATTTTTTTTTTTTTTTAATAAAATTTGAGATTTTGATAATTTTTAACCACTAAGATTCGTGACTCATGCATGCTAAAAACTATTGAGCAGCTGTAAAGGTTAAAGTAAACTATTGCGCAGCCTTTGAAGTTTTTAATTTTTAGTAAAGAAAAACATGAATTAACATGTGCAAGAACATGGACGTGTTCATGTACAAGTACATATACATTTTCTTGTACAAGTATCTTTTTGTACAAGATCTTGCACCAGATCTTGTACAAGTTCTCACACATATGTACTTGTTCCAAATTCGTATGCATTTTCCTATACAGGAACTGGTCAGAACTTGTACAAGTTCAGTTGCTGATCCTGTACAGGAAATTGTACAAGATCTTGTACAGGGATTTTCAGTAGGAATAACATTAAGATTCTTAAAGAAGAAGTCGAAATCTTTATTTCAATTGTTATTAAAACTTCGAGACCAGGTTCGGAACCATCTCCTGTTTTTTCCCGTTTTTTGAAAACGAAAATCTTTGCCTAGCGTGGACCGTTTTAGATTATTTAAAAATGACAAAGGATCTTAGAGAGGAAATTAAAAAAATTTTTATAATCTGGAATTGAAGAGAAATTTATGGTGCTTACTCAACCAGACATGCATCCACTTCAAAAGCGTTCAAAAAGGATCTAGATATTTCGTGATGAACGTGATAAAAAAGCAGCATATTGGTCCGAAAATTTAAGTTTTTCAAAAAGTTTTTAAAAAATTTTATAATAGACGAATTTCTCTGGAATAGTTTTAGCTTATTCGTGAAAGTTTAAACATTTTGTTAATTAAAAGAGTTCAAAGTATAATTTATTAATTTTTAAGGAGAAAAGAGTTGTATCAAAGAGTTTGTACATTTTTCAATAAAAAGATGTTTTTCAAGAGATTTTAAAATAAAATATATAAGTTATATGAAATATAATTATAATGACTAAACGAAAGTGATTATATGAATTACTGGTTCGAAGATATAAACTCCCACCCATAAAAAAAAATTTTAGTTTAAAAATTAATTAAAATGTATAAACTAAAATATAAATTGAAACTAAATGAAGGTTAGGGTGTAGATAAAGGTAGACGGAGACCGATTTTTCTCTTTCTATCTCTGAATAGTGGCGTCATATGGCGACAAGTCGCGATACTTCAAGTAAAATATATCTTCGAACAAGTAATTCATATAATTATGATCGAACTTCACTTGTAAATTCGTTTAATCATTAATTATTAACAGAAAAGTAGAAAGGAAGTACTGAGTATACTGATGTAATATGCTGATGATTTTAAAATTACTGCAAAATTTCCCACTTACGTTCTGAAATTTTATTCTTTCATGAACTATTTTGAGAGTTGCATGTTTCTTTATTTTTTATTATCTAGATAATGTTTCTTTAATTGTTTTTAGGAAATAGAGAAAAATGACGAGGCTTCTAAAATTGTTTCAACAAAATGTCATCTAAAAAACTGACTTTTTTATTTACTCATTACATGGTTTTGTTTTAATGAATTTTCATAATTATTCTTTTATTATCATTCAGACACTTTTGCACACATCAATCACTTTTACATTACTGCGGCTTATGGATGATGAGATAATTATTTATAATATATTTATATTTATATATATCGATATTAAATTACACTTTAATTTTTTCATAATATAAAACACTTGACAAACAAAAACTGAACAACTTATTATTTTGGGAGCTGCTGCAAGACGATAATTAGATGCAGCAAAGTTGGAATTGCTTAGCGAACGTTACAACTTGGTTCTAATCGTTCGTTTCAATATTTATATATAGCGCAAGAAAAATTTGTCGAGTCTTAAGTTTAAATGTAAAATGTACATCGTAAAAATTATCTTTTCTCGAAGAAGAATGTTATTTTTTAAGGATCCAGGATTATTCCTCCAGTCTTCGAAACGATAGTTGTTGCGAGCAATTATCGTCCATTCCTACATTGCGCTAGCTTATAACGTAGGCTGCGCAACTCCTGGAATACAGTCTGATTCGCCCCTGTAGCAAGCGTATTTACAATTCGTCGTGTTCCTGCAAATAAACATAGACATTGAGTAATTTCGGAAACATTTCATGGGAACTACAGATTGAAAAATTGTCGTCAGTAACGAGGAATTCCACCTTTTTTATCGCTCATTAAGGTCGGAAATGGCGTTATCATCATTTGTTGAATATGTCTAACTTATTTCCAACTTATTTCAGTGAATAACAGGGTTTCTACAAAATTTTATTGTCAAATTTCATGATTAACTACGGTCAAAATTTTAAAAAGATCCAATGGAAACTTTTTTTATTTGCTTCTCAGCGCGTACTGTGCTTTGTCCCCTTGAGTATAATTTATATTATAATTGTTTCAAAAAGTTAAATTCCTTTATATTTAATAATTGCGCAATTAATTCTCTTTACAAGTTAATAATTCTTTAACCATTTTTTTAATTAAGAGATTTTTTGTCCCTTATCGATCGTATTTATGACATTTACACGAATAAATATTGTGTTGTAGAAACCCTGAATAACATGCCATAATTAAAAATGTCTCGTTCAATTTATAAAAAATTAGTTACCTCGACTTCATTATCTTTTAAATCATCTTTTTTGTCGTCCTCGTCTTCATCGTCATCTTCATCTTCATCGTCTTTAGGACTCTCTTTCGATTCTTCAACTGCTTTTTCAGATTTTTCCTGCTCCTCTTTCATCTTCTTTTCTCCGTCCTATGAAATAAGAAGTACATTTTAATAATTGTTTGAAAGCATTAAGCCTCTTTTTTAAAATGGATATTATTTATACTAAAACTTACATTAGTTTTCTTCCATAAATCATCTACGACTTTCTTTGCGTACTCGACATCATCGGTAATGAGAACGTTATCAAAAATAGTTCCAGCCTTAACTTGCCAAAGATCGAATCCAATAGCACATACATTTCTTTTGTAAATTTCAGGATCGGAAATATATTCAGGGTTATCGATGACGGGATGTTCCCAAGATCCTTTGTAAGCGGGGTTGTCAATTTCTTTTGGTTTCCATTCTCCCTAAAATTTCAAAATTGTACGTTGGTAGCCCAAAAATTTCTAAAGTTACTTTTATTATATAGAAATATTCTATACTAATGTACTATAAAAATTTTACCTTGTATTCTGGGTTGTCAATCATGGGTGGTTCCCACTCACCGTCCATTTCATCATCCCAGTCCTCGGGTTTAGTTGCTTCTGGATCTGGAATGTGTTCTGGTTTCTCCCAATCTTCAGGTTTTGTGTCATTTGGGTCAGAGATTGTTTTTCTGTCATCCCAATCCTCTGGTTTCGATTGTTGAGGATCGTTAATCTTCTTTGGTGGAAGGAAGTCCCAATCTGCCTCTAATTCTCCAGATTCAACTTTCTCGTTGTCAATAAGGACCTGAAGTGATAATAAAATTTATTGTTATTTTAATAAATAAATAAATATCGCCTAATTATATAAAAATATTTTAATTGTAAGACTTTAAAATAAGAGATAAAAATTTACCTCGTAAGTATTATCTGGTTTAACGATAAGTGTATAAAAGTGAGTATAGACATCATCCTTGCACCTGATGTCTTTGTTGATGAGATGATTCTTGCCTTTGTAATGGAAGATTACATGTACCTTCTTAGTTCCAGGACCACAAATATCAGGTCCTAAAATAAAACATGCAAGTATAAATAAATCAGTCACTCCTTATTATGTAATAGGTTAAATTTACAGACGAATAAAAAATTTATAACTGTGACTTTGATATGGGGTCGTCCATAACATGTGGACTAGAGGTGTGCAAAAAGCTCGAATGTCGAGTCGAGTTGAGCCGAAATTTTTTCAAGCTCAGAGGTATCGAGTACTCGAAAATTCCGAGTACTTGAGTGAATTTCGAGCACTCAAAGTTTTCGAGTTCTCGAAAATATTCGAGTACTCGAATAAATTCGAGCATATTAAACGTTCAATTTTTATTGTTTTGCAAAAATTACTAAATTAATCAACAGATAAATGAATGACTACATATTTGAAATTACAAACTCATGAAAAAATAGTAAATAGCTTACAAACAAACGAATATTTAAATTCAATTAAAAACAAGTACTCGACTATTTTCGAGTACTCGATTATTTCAAGTACTCGTATTCACGCGAGTGATCGAAGTTACTCGAGTACTCAAAAACGTTCGAGTATTCGAAAATTTTCGAGTTTTTTATACAACTCGATCTAGTTTCAAGCTTTTTTTTGCACACTACTAACGTGGACACTTTGGGGAGGGGTTTAAAAAGTCTGAAAATGTACACGATTCAATCAGAATTTGTGAAAAATTGTCCACGTAGTATTTGATTGAATCCAATCAAATCAAATAATATTTGAAAAGTTGAAATTACGAGATGCAGGTTTTGGCCCCAATTCTCATTTCACCGAAAGTTTACATGATAATAATTGGAAATATAGAAATATTATTTATGCGATTAAAATGATTTACAAATTATATTAAAATTCAATAGAAATTATTTAAAGGGTATTTTAAGAAATATTTATACATGAAAGTAATTATTTAATATACAATACCATTAATGATGATTTGTAAAAAAGTTATGTTTTTTTAACAAATAATTTGTTACACTATTATATTTATTTAAGGTAATTTATATTTTATAAATTTTTGTTTGATCATATTTTTATTGAATCAACTTTCTTTATTGCAGAATATTTTGTTTGTTGAATTTTCTTGAAACATTTTATAATAATTTTTATATATTAAAATTTTAAATAATAATATATTTAAATTAAGATAAGTAGCATTATATTTAATATTTATTTGAAATCATTTCTTTCTGAAATTTTTTTAACAAGAAAAAAATTTTAATCAATTTATTATGTTATGTAACATATATTAATTAGAATATTTAATTATTTATAATTTTAGTAAATAATATTTAATTATTATTTATTGACAGTTTTATCAATTTCTATCATGTGAACATTTAGTGAAAAGAGAATCGGTGTCAAAATTTGTATCTCAAAATTACTTAACATTAACATAAAAAAATTTTAGATTTAATGAAAAATAACGTCTGGTTTGAGCTACTGCCGATTGAAAACGTGTTAAAATGTTTGAAATTTGATTACGTGTACATTTTAAAATTTTTTAACAGAAAAAAATGCTTTATTGATTTGTGTTGACTTGAAAACTAATTGTGAGGATCATTCTCATATTTTCAGGTGTTTCTATTCATAAAAGCCCGTGTTAATTCATCTGTTAAAAAAATGATATCCGAACTATCTTACCTTCGTTTATATTATGTAAGTGGAAATATTTACTTAAGCTAAATATTGAGGTGTGTAACCATATTGTATATTATTTAAAGGAATGTAATTTTAATATTTGAATTAATGCTTATATATCTTCTAAAAGGTTCCTTAAATGCTTTAAATAAAACAGGGAATTTAGGGCTGAACACGTAAAGAGAATCTTGTCTGGAGTGCAGACGAATATTTATATTTCGTTGAATTCAGAAGCACATAATTAATGACTACTTTTATTACAGTACAATTTTTAAATAATACATTTATGCTTTTAATCATAATATAGTGTTTGTATTGTTAATTATAATTTAAAAATATATAGAATATTCAATGAATTCTATTATTTGGAAAGTAATTTCCAATTTTAATTTTTAAATTTTAAATTCAACTAAATTTTCTATACTTGAAAAATATTGCTTTTGACTTCGACTTGGGAATTTTTTCCCATACCTTCCCGAGATAGTCAAAATTATAAAGTCCAAGAGAAATTTACCACTTTTCGTAGTAACCTCACCAATTTACTTTGAACTTGGTAATATTATATTTATGGTTATAAAATTTTAGAAAATCAACTTTTTATGTAAAAACAACACAGTTAATACAATATTTGTCAAATTTTTTCAATTAGCCATGTTATTTAAACAAAATAAGTTCTTATGCTTGCGGTCCGACAATGAAAAATTTAAAGATAGAAATTCTTAACCGTTTGACAAGGCTTTTGTATTAAGTTGACAAAAACTACGCGCGAAGTTTACGATGTTCTCTCAGCCATTTCTGAAGCTGTCTCTACATTGAAACGATAGCATGAAAATACATGGCTTTTTGGTGCGATTTGCGTTATCTTTGCAATATAGACACAGCTTGAACTGCTGAGAAGTACACGTTACACGTTGCGCGATTGAGCAAAGATTTAAACAATTTTGAGCAATTATTGTATTAACTGTGTTGTTTTCACTTAAAAAGTTGATTATCTGAAACTTTATATTCATAAATATAATATTACCAAGTTTCAATTTTTTTTCGGTGAGGTTACTCTGAAAGTAAAGTTTCAGGTTCTCGAGATTATATCAAGATTAATAGTATTAAATTAAACTTCATTTAATTTTCTAGTAGGATTCTTTTCTAAAAAATAATTTTAGTTTTCAAAACAGAATTTTAGAACATACCAAACATAATGTGATAAGGACTTTCTCCATGCATGTCCTTCTGATTCAGACTGCAGTCAAATACTTTTGCATATCCTCCACCACAGTCGATATTCTGTTCATGTTTTACAGAAAACTGGATGACAAGATTCTTATTTTCATTACTGAATTCATTAAACTTGCGACTCAAAGCGTAAAACCTGGCATCCTGAGATGTTTGAATACCTGAAAATTGAGTAAATTGTGTAATTAAGAATTTCGTTGTCTTCGGCAATATTGTGTTTCCAATTTTCCGATATCTTTCATACATACCTTTGTCATTGTCTGGATCGTTCCAAAAACTTCCATGACTGAGTACAAATTTACCAAATTCTACTCCCTCATGTTCTGATTGTACCCAATTTTCCAAAGACTTTTCTGAAATTTACAAAAAAACTTTTTCGTTATTAACAATTACACCATAATTTTTCGTCTATAAAAATATAAATATGCATTTTTTTATGTATAAACTCTTAAAGGTTTTTTTGGAGTTTGTTGTAATTAGTTTGATATTTTTTCCGTAAAACAAATTTTTATTTCTCTATTTAATTTTATACCTAGTAAAAAAATTCATTAAGAACTCAAGCTTAAAGAAAAAAACTTGTACTGAATTTTAGTAGAAAGCATTTTTGTTTAATAATATTCATAATAGCAGTGCTATTTTAAAACCGGTTTTTAATTTTTTTAATGAAATTTCACTTTAGATTCAAGTGTGAAATAAAGAAAAAAAATATTGGATAATTAATTATTTCAATTACAAATAAGTCATTTACTACTTTTTTTAAATAAAAAAATCCTTTTTGGAAGAGGAAAAATTTATTAAAATATTGAATTTTATCTGAAATTTTGCATAATAAGAGCAGGGTAAAAGAGTACTAGAGACTGCATTGTAATATTCGTTTATATTAAAGTGACTTAAGAACTTGATGTTCAAGGTGGCGCTAGAAGTAATTTAAAGATTTAAAACTTACTATACGTACTTTTTATTAGTTTAAAAAACAAACTTTCATTGCATGAATAAGAACTTTCACAAAAGTACGTGTGTGTATGACTTTATCTACCATACACTTGATTACCTTGAACGTCTGTAATTTTATTATGTGGAGGATATAATGCGAATTTACAATATTGATCATTATAAATGTACGCAAGGATAAAATTGTCAACATTTTGTGAGATTACCAGTTGAATATTTCTATTTTCATTAGAGAGAGTAATTTTAAACATTTCTAAACTAGAAAAAAAATTCAAAAAATATTGATTTTACATCTTTAAAAAAACATTCTTACACGTCGATTAGCAATCAGTATTTTAAAATCAAATCAATCTGTTAAACATTTTTAATTATCATTCAGAACATTAAATTAAAATCTAATCCTGTACAAAAAATGTGAAAAATATTTTCACAACAAAAAAGCAATCTGTCGAAAAAGATTTTTCACACACTTTTCATTAAACTCATAAAGTAAGCGTAAAAATCAATTACAGCTGCTGATGGCAATTAAAATTTTTTAATGGATCACTGGAGAATGTCTCATAATTAAATGGAACTGTTTTAATATTACAACTGTTTGAGATGAGATTTTAATGAAACGAATGTAACTTAGGAAAACCGGCATTCAGAAAAATGTTAGTTTACTCACCGTCAGCGAAAGATTCTTCTAAATATACTTCTGCTTTAACTGCAATAATTGCCAAAAAGGCAATATACACGGAAAGAAAACGCATTTTTAGGTGACAATTCCTTGTTGTCTGAGAAACAAACCGATAATGACAATACAGCAAATGCGGTAGATGATATTAGTGGATATTAGCTGTCGTCGTCGTCAGTCAAGGCAGACAGATGGAAAGCACTCATTGGTTGATTGTAAACAGCGAATCAGCGCTAACCACGCTCCACCACGAACCACTCCTCTTTCCCTCTCTTTTCCTCTAACGCTCTCTCTTTGTCAGAACAGAGGTAGGAAATCAGGAGAATGGTAGAGCTTTAGCAGGGTTGCACAGTTATGCGTAACTCTGAGTTTTTACGTATATTACGTGTAATTTACGTTTAAGTAAATTAGGTACACTCTTGGCCAGACATGCCTACACATTTTTGCCTTTTTAGGATGGAGTTACATGTTCATGTAAATGCAGAATGCAAAACTGAAAATAATGAGAGTGAAAAGGATAGTGATATATGCCTGTCCTTTTCACTCTCATTATTTTCGGTTTTGCATTCTGCATTTACGTGACTGATGCGTTGATTCGCAAGCGCAGTGACGTAATCAAAGCATTGATACCAATCGCGAACAAAAAGTTTGATTTATGTTCATCTTCTCCCTGTTTCCCAAATTTTATAATTTTTAATGCAAATGTTTCTCGACGGCTTTTAATAATTTTAATTATTTAATATTTATAATTAAAAAATTCAGTGTCTTAAAATCATAAATCAAACTTTTTGTTCGCGATTGGTATCAATGCTTTGATGACGTCACTGTGCTTGCGAACCAACGCATCAGTCACGCAACGGAAACATTTTACAGATGTTTAAATAAAATTTTTTATTAAATAATAATTTTGGAAGAGTTAAAGTTGAAATTTTTGCTAAACAATAGACGAAAGTCTACAACGGAAATGCTTTGTATGAGAAACCAATAAATAATTAAATAATTGTTTATGTACATGTTTTAATATAATTACACAATTGTATGTAAATGTAAATAATGTTGTTAATTAACTAATAATTAATAATCATAATATTGTAATATAATATTAGTACAATTACATCATAATAATATAAGACATATAATATTGTGATGATTAATGTTTATTATATTTTAATTAATAAATAGTATGTTGTACGATGGGAAAGAATATGTATAATCTCTCTTATGTATGTGTGAATGTATAAGTTACACCTATAACGATGTGATAAGTGTTAGTGAAGTGATACACATACATGAGTAGCGAAAACGCTCCATAGTAAAGCATGCACACAAACTCAAAATGGACCAAAAGCGGAGAGCGCTATATATATATATATATATGTAAACATAACCTTATATAAAAATGAATCTATTATCCTTTCTAAAAAAAACATTGCGATAAAAGCATAAAGGTCGAATAGAAAAAAATCGAACTCGAAAAACTATTAAGGCCTTTCTCCAATAGGAACCTAAACTTTTGCGTTGCGTGACTGACGCGTTGATTTTAGCATTGGTTGCCAATAGCAACTGACGCAATGCATACGCAACGCAAGAGTTTAGGATCCTATTGGAGAAAGGCCTTTAAGGCCCCGTCCCATGACAACGTGAAATGCCGGCGTTAAAGCGGAAAGCATGAGAACGAAAGAGATGAACATATCTCACTATCTCTTTCGTTCTCATGTTTTCCGCTTTCACGCCGGAGTTTCACGCTGTCATGGGAAGGCGCCTTTAGGCTCTGTCACTTGTGACGTCAGAGGCCTGGAGGGACAACAAACATACGACACAATGTTATTCTTATGGGGAAAAAAATTTGTTTCCACTGTCATCAATTTTATTCATATTTTAAACATGGAAAACGCTTGTTTACATATAATAAAATGAAAATGTGTGTTGATAATTAATTGCTTAATTAATTTTGTTATATATTTGATTCAATTGCATTGATACCATAATAAGCTCGATTGAATTATAACGTAGCAAACACATGCCAAACGTTCAGCCGCTGGCGCAACTTCAAAGTTTAAACATTTGCCATTTTGTTATTAATTGTTCAATTGCATTGTAACTTTCCAGAAAATTTCTTTGGACCTTAATGAACAACTTTCTCACTGGAAGTTTGTTGCTGGTGAAAATTTACGAAAATTCCTCACAGGGTGAAAATTGCAGTTCATCAATTTTGCAATGTCTCATTAAAAAATTAATAACTTTTTTATTTTTAATCAAAACAACTTTTTTCTTTTGTAGTCACTCGTAGAATATAATATCATTTCATTAAGAAATTCGTAAAATTGTTTGAGCTGTCGCGAGTTGAAGTCAAAAAAACAATGAAAATTTCTTTTTTAAAAAAACAATTTTTCTCTTATATTTCAAAAACGGAAAAAGATGAAAAATTTCTTATTAAGAAAAAAAGACGCGCAATCGAATTCAGTATAAAGGCGCTCTCACACCTTTTTGTCTGCCTGCAGGTTACCATGGCAACGCATGAGAGTGAGTGCGACAGAAAATTTAAAAATTTGAATATTCAAATTTTCTGTCTCACTCACACTCGTGCGTTGCCATGGTAACCTGCAGGCAGGCAGGCAGCCAAAAAAGGTGTGAGTGCGCCATAAGAATATGCTCGAAAAATATTAAAATTCAAAAAATGAATTTTGAGTGTCCAGGGGACTTCGTTTTCCGGCGGAAAAAATTTACGTGCTTCTAGAATCCAGCGGCTCAAGTAAATAAATTAATGTAAATAAAGTGTTTTTCCTTAGATAAAATTTTTTTTTAAATGTTTTGTAGTGTATAAAATCTTAATATTTACAAGTAAAATTAGATAAATTTTTTTTATATTCAAAATTAATTCTAAATATTGAAATGTAAAGGATAGCATATATTTTTACAATGATACTTTATTTTTAAAAAAAATTACTGTTAAATTAGTCTTCTTTTTATCACATTTTGTCACAGCATAGAACCCGTGTAGAAATTGCCATATTTGGCCCAAAAATGGATTGAAACGCCTCACCCAATATGGGCCAGACCTGGGAAGCGTCAAAATGTGACTTTATCTTGTGTCCCAAATCAGGTAAGGCATTTCATGCTAATTTTATGGATGCCAGATTTGGCCAGGTTTAGACCATGACAAAATTTCTACCCCGGAAGTAAAACGGAAAAATTTTAATGTGATGTTAAACATTTAATATTTTTAAAAACAAAAAAAAGATTAATTGTCATCAAAATATATATCAATGCTTCTGAATGTGACTGAAGTTCTGAACGTTCAACTGAACGAAAAATTTGTTTACCACTGTTTTAACTTCAATTTTTTTTTATAAAATATTGGTTTCTCTATCGAAAAATAAGTGAATAACTTATTGAATTTTAAATGTAACTTTTTATTTCCATTGATGTAGTGTAAATTTAAAAAAAAATTATTTCTTCCATTTAAACGTTTATAACTTCATGCATATGCTTCCGAGAAAAACTGGAACAACTTGAATTTGTCAACCGTCAAACTGAACTAAGTCGAAAGTCGAACGAACAAAGTCGATCTTGTCGACTTTAATCTCGAGAAAGTCGATTGCAATAAGTCGACTTTCGAGCTAAATCGAAGTCGACTTTTCCATCCCTAGTTGGTTAAATAAAATTTACTGCGCAGCCGTATATGCCATAGAAAACTACTGCGCATAAATATTAATAAAATTTATTTATTAATAACATTCTATGTTTACAGTAACCTTACGGGAAGCTTACAACAACCTTATACCGTGTAAGCTTACCATAACCTTACCATGTAAACTTGCCACCACCTTACTGTGTAAGCTTACCTTAGCTTTATTGTGTAAGCTTACTGTAATGGCGGAAGTTTTAAGATGACCTCAAGTTTACTGTAGGCTTACACGGTAACCTTACAAACCCTACAGATATCCTTACAGTAACCTCACAGCAAGAAGTCGTGCTATGTGAGCACTATTTTACACAAAGCGGAAATTAATTTCGGATCTCCTTTAAGTTTTTTATCATGCTTTTAGATTTAGAACAGCTGTTACGTTCTAGAAATGAACATAACCTATTGAGTTAAAGACACTTGATTGGTCAAAATAATTAGCGCACGATAATTTTAAAATATGTCATTCAAACTTAATAACACTTTAATATTATAATATACTACTTTCCTTTGTTATTAATAAATAATTTATAAAAAAGAAAAATAAACATAATTACAAACTGTAGGTAGTGAAAAATATTGTTTTTGAAGAAATTTTTTGATGGTTTTTTTTAAATTCATGATTTACAAAAGGTAATTTTTTAAATTACCATTTCAGTGACTATTTAAAAAGTCTGAAAAATTTCTTTTCACTAACTTTATAATTAACAATTTATCAGAAATTTAAATTATTTATCTAAAAAGTTTATAAAATAAAGACCTTAAATAAAATCCATTGATAAAGTATTTCATCAACAACACAGTATTCCTAAAAGTATCAAATTGAGACCAAAAATTGCATCAAATCTTTGCAACGTTTTGATGCACATAAGTTATATCAAAAAGAGATTGTTTTGTGTATCATTTTTAGAAATGATACCCGAAACGGTCTCATTTTTTGATGCAAAAAATTGAATCAATTTATATCAATCATGGCCGAATTAAATCGACTCAAAATTAAACGAATTTTTTTCAGATATTTTGGTAATAGTACAATTGCGGAGACCATTTCACTATTTAATTTGAAAATGAAAATAACAGAAAATCAAAGACAATGTGCAATTCGATAATTAAAAAGTGACAGCTTATAAACATAACCTAAAATGCATGAGAAAAAATTTGTCGATAAAATCAATATAGCCGAGCTTTTTAGAAGGTAGATGGCAGTTTTGCTCTTTATAAAAACGTTTCAGAAAAAATTTAAAGAAAGAAAATAGATGAGTGCTGCCATCTACCTTCTAAAAAGCTCGGCTATATTGATTTATCGACAATTTTTTTCTCATGCATTTTAGGTTATGTTTATAAGCTGTCACTTTTTAATTATCGAATTGCACATTGTCTTTGATTTTCTGTTATTTTCATTTTCAAATTAAATAGTGAAATGGTCTCCGCAATTGTACTATTACCAAAATATCTGAAAAAAATTCGTTTAATTTTGAGTCGATTCAATTCGGCCATGATTGATATAAATTGATTC